CTAGTAGCAGTGAATGTGTTTCTGTGCAGAATAATAAGGAGACTGTGACAAAAGAAAGCATCTGCTACAAATAGGTTCCACTTTGTTTTGACTGATTGCGACCGACGATGAAAGGCTGTCATCCTGTAAGCGGCCGACCTTTTATTAATGATAATGACAACAAGAATGGAATTAGAGAAAAAAAGAAAGGCAGACGGCGTAGAAATGCAGGTTGAAGGAGAACAAACGTGAGCATACGCATAGGGTAATATGCAACTGACTCCATGTGAGCCTCTGCACACACATTCACCTCATTGGCCCACGAGGAGTAGGGGTCGGGTGTTGTGCCCTGACCAAAGAATTTACTTTAGCTTACAGCTAGCAGAATCAGTGATAGCAATAGCAGCATTAGTACAACACTAGCCGTCACAAAACAAATTAGAATAATACCCGCGGTAAACACCTGCTAACTTTATCTTCGCCACGAACCTATTCATATAAATTTACGGAGCACCACCATTCTCTATCCACGCGAGCAGCTTACGAGACTGAGCTGTCCCTTAAAAGCAAAAGCGACCTAATGTGTCTCCTTTTCGAGACAAGCACGCGGTTACTCAACCTTAGAATCTTTCGTTTCTACAGCTATATTTATTCCATACATCATCATACGGTTTTATGTTGTGACCTTCTTTTGGGTGTATATGCATCCGAAATATATAGTATGTATAGAGAGAATTTACCGACCTACCCTAGAGCATATGTATCTAAAAAAAAGTGAAGGAGAGGGAGAAAAACCTGTCAAAAGTTACATAACGACTGTTTATCCACCTATTGCGTCCGTGGGATCATATAGCTATGGATTGTAAAACGCATCGGGATGAAGACATCAGACAGAACGGGGAAGGGACAGCTCGTGGTTGTAGTACAAGTCTGTAGAATATTGATTTGTTTATAAGAACAACGGCCTGTCAGCTCACTAACAGGTGCAGGCTGGCAAAGGAGAAAAAAAAAATGAGGAGAAGGCCTGTGTTTCAGTAACGACTTAGGTGGTTACCAGCGATTGTCTGTTTGTCGAGGCGACTAGTGCTCTCCGTATCTCGTTTCTTGCCGAAGGCTACAGCTACAGCGTTGACGTGGAATTGCGAGCGAGGAGCACGGAAAGCTTTTCCTTCCGAAGCGGATCTTAGCCGAACAGACAACGAGGCGCGATATTAGCAATTCACTTAACTGGACACGATTAGTACGGTTACTAGGCAAGCTATCAGCTCAGTCGATTTCGTAGGGTTGGCCTGGTAAAGTTTACCTTTGTTTGAGCCTTTCAGAGTGTACCTGTGAATGTGTGTGTGTATAGTTTCGCATCTTAACTCTTCTTGTCCGTGTTTTCCGCTTAGACGAATAGAGATTTCCCGAACAGGAATAGGAAACAACTGCACACGACTGTAAGTGAATAATATAGCAGCATACTAAATTAAATACAACATGATCCTATCGCACCTTTTCAATGAAAGACATGAAAAGGGTTTCACTCAAACGCTTTATCATGTAGATGTACAGCTTGCATGACTTGGTCCCGGCTAAATGTCTTGCAGAAAAAAAGGTGCGTATACGCAGCTATGTGATAGATTAAATCGATATTTAAACTATCTCAGTTATCAAGAATAGATTCACTGATTGTTGAGGCCTATATGCCAATCAGTATACCAAAGAGACACAAGCTAATACGATGCGTACAAATAGCTATAAAATATTGTCCAATATTATGACTAACGAACGATGTAAAAATCGAAACATATATCTAATATTACACTTACCCGCTTTTACTAAAATTTTCGTCTACTTTAGTATCTAAATTTACATCCAGTTCTCATACGAAGAAAATAATTGCGCGAAGTCCTCGCTCAACGGATCAGCGACTGTACAACCTAATAGACCTAGATCTAGGATCTAGAAACCGTCCCTGAACGTGCCGCCGCAGTCGAGAGTTTCCATAATGAGAACGACGGGTCGACTCAATGGTCTATCCGAACAATAATATAACAGTGCTTTGTTCTTTATACGCCTTGCTTAGAAAGAATACACGCACATATATTTTGAGGCGCTTCGTCGCCTTTTAGATAACATGAATTTACGGCCATTGTTGTGCAAGGTGCCCCGAGCCTCTGCCGATTTACTTTTGTATCTTCCATAGATAGTCTACGGGATCACCTATATAATAATAGTATGTAACATCTATGCATTCCTTCGTATCTTGTTTGTTGTTACGAAACGTGCGTCTTCCAGGGCCACGTGCCAGTCCACGAGTGTTTTACCAGTTCCTACTCGATCCTCAAAAATTATCTTATTAAGCTTAAAAGTAACAAAAGCATCGTCTATCTAGAGATAGAGGGAGGGACCCATTTTTGACTGATAGGACATTTTATATACTTACTCTCTAGCCTTGTACAGATCATAGACATCGCGAAACCAAAAAGGGTATGATCGAAACTCTGAACGAACGCGGCATTTAACAGCGACTCAGGAGGGCTCTTGGACAGCATTGTTCAAGCTTCTGTTGCTAAAACTTTTCCACCGTTTCTATTTCTGTTAAAGCTGAGAATCATCGTCCTTTGTAGAAGCTGGGATCGTTTTTAGAGCACAAAAAAGCTCTAGACTGCAACGAGCAAACAAGTGAGCCACAAGTGGCCTGGCTGTATTTGCAACTGTATCCATTAGATAGAGAAAGCCTACACCTGGTTGCAAATGAACCAACTGTCGATCAAATACGCGTTGGCTGGGAGGCGAAAAAAGTTAGGCGTCAAATCCCGTTTCTAGTATCTAAAGGTCTTGAAGCTTTGAGTTTATTCTAAATCTTTCGTGCTGCTTCCGGATCTTGCCAGACGCCACATGGAAGCCTGCTGCACGGTATTGTTGTTGCTTCTAGCGAGTTCGGATGGCGTCGTTCAGAAAAACTATATTTTCCTGTGGGCCGTTCTGCAACAGCCGGGTGTGTCCTGTGAAAAATTTGCGTCGTCCTAATCCGAAAACACTTTATGCATGTGCGTAGATCTCATGGCGCAGACTCTCCGGTGGGGGCAACAGATAACAAAGCACGCAAAAAAAAAGGGAAACCAAAGAAGACTGTTATTCCTTGAAGGTAGTCTAAAAAGTTACAGTAAACATAATGAGGCGGAAATCATTAAAATGGAGCAACTCAAGATGAATGCAACAGACTAACGCTGATCGATGAATGCCTTGTGCTATTTTGTTATTAATTAATATTCAACGGATCTATGTATATTATCAAATATTGCATGCATGCATGATCTACACTCAAACGAACTTTCGCGTAGGTGGGAAAACGTTCGCAAATTCACGGTGGCGCTGCTATTGTTGTGGGCCTGAATAGTAACCGGAGGTCATCGGCGTGTATTCTGTTCAGCGACGCTTATTTAAGGCAAAAGGTGTCTTTACAATGCAATACCATCCTTATTTATTGAACAACTATAGACTATACCGCTATTTAATATGTTCATCTTGTGCATATAAGTGAATGGAATATAAACGATGGTTTCTGATGTATCTGACACGACTTACCATCTAATTTCACTAGCTTTCGAAATTTATTTGCGGAAACAGATTATAGTAACTACCCTTGCTAAGCCTTGTTAGCCAAGGTCTGCTGCATTAAAAACAGTTAGCGCTTTACGACGCACTTTGTTGCCTTTTTTTTGCTCAAAGATAGATTCAATAACGAATTGGGCTTTTCGTTCGAAATTCCCGCAGTAAGGAAATAACGTTGACCAGATGTTGCAAGATCAAGACGGTTCAATCATAGGCTCTACCGAAGGGGGCATCCTCATACCTCGTGGCAACGCGCCGTTAGTAAATCATCCACCTAGCTATTGAGCAGCTTCAGATGTATCAAAATCGAGTCTGAAGTTATGTGGTTTTAGGGGAGATGTTATGAGTACAATAAGGATACTGTGGGCATTCGGTAGGAGCGAAGGCAAGGATGACCATCTACATCGTACCTAGATTATGCTGTTTATTAATCGCAGCTCATATGCTACGTTGATATTTCATTTCTCATCGCACTGATAGACATCTACAGGTTCAAACAAAACGAAGTGGTCTGTCACAATTTATAGAAACGACATTATCAAATACATAATCAGCTGCAAGGCCTTGGAACAGTCCCCAGTCCATTACCCAAAAATAGAGCTAGGATTTTTTAAGAAAAAATTGTATGTCTAATGCTGGAAATTGATTTTCTTTTGTATTTAATCACATTTATCGCTACTGGAGAAATTTGAAAATTAGCGTCCAGGGTACCAAGGCCGATATGTTTAAAAATTTCGGCCTAAGTAGTTACGTGCATTGTTTGGTCAGATACTTAACCGTATTGCTCAACGGACCGTTTAGTTGCTTCTCTGGGAAAGAAACGCAAGTATACATTAATTTGTATAAAGTATATATGTTATTGAACCTTTTGTTAACTTCCTGTGCAAAAGAATTTCATTTGCAAAGACCGAAAATGTGACCGGGAACGTTTACGCGATTACTCTGATCGCGCTGCTTTATATATGTGCAAGAGTTCTGCCTCTAATCCCTATCATATGAGCCTTAAAAAGTCAAATTGTGTGCGAACTTTGTTTTAGCATTTGGGCTGATGAAATTTGTAAGCCTGTTCTTCCACTGAACGTTTTATAAAACATGTAGGCATAGACCTCTTATACTCTTTTGTAGACTATTGCATACTGTTCGAACATCTCCTCGTGTTCTTAAGTTTAAGTTTAATCACAAAATGTACTGTTTTTAATACATGCTTTTTCACTTCATATTTTTTGCTACATGCTCAAGTAAGCCTTTACATAAACAAATTGTTTATTGCTTAAATCTATGACGTTTGTTTTTTTAAACTTTTAATTGTTTTAGTTGCTCGTGCTATAGGAATACTTGAATTAGCACTCGTATTGACTCTATTTATAAGCCATTAGCTTTAATTTCTATGATTCCTCTTGTGCCATATTGTCGTTTCGTAGATGATTAAGGACTGTAAGATATACGATCCTGCCGATGCTGAGTTTCTTCGGAGGACACGTTCCGTCAATATGTCCGAGCGCGTCTGGGATGTTACCGAGCAGCTGATCGAGGATAAACTAGATAAGGTAGGTAGGGTTCGCTTGCCGTATTTGTTTCTGTAAGCTTGCAGAAAGTGGAATTTTCCCTGTGTTCTCATTAATTAGTGTTATTATAATTATCATTGAAGTGTTTACATATAGACCCGAAACAATAGGGGTATTTATCTTGACTTGCTCTCCTCTAATTCAGTAAGTAATGGCTTACGGTTAAACTTAATGATGATTGAATGACACATTGAACACTAGTAACTTAAGTTTATTAACTAAAAAATATGCATATTTCGATATATCTGTCAAAGATAACCTGTCAGGTTTGAAAATACTTAGATCTAGTTATCGATTGAATTATTCACTAAGGTTAAGATGAACGACCCAAGCTAAATGAACAGAATCTTTGTATGTTCAACCATCAGTGTGGGGTCAGCTGAATAAAAAATAACTAACAGTCACAAAGGCACACCTCACTGTTGTTCAGTTTTCGATGCTACAATCGAGGTCAATATAATTATGGATAATTAATCTCTGTGTTGAACTCAGTGGTTCTGCACAGCTTGCCAAAGCAAAGCAATGTCGTTAACCAACGTAATCCGTCATTGTATAATAGAGAGGGCGAAACAAGAAGGATAAACAAGGAGGTTGACTAGTTTTTGTGCACCGACACCGCCCTTCATAGCAGATCTTGCTGTGCCAGATTGAAAACTATATATCGTATAGTTTATATCGTATATAGAAGGTATAACTACTTCGGTTGGCTGTAAGCTGTCGCCGTCAAGGTTATCTACTATGATTTAAGACCGTTGTGCTGATAGAAGAAAATATCATTTTTAATTAAATACGACAATTACATTGCCTGTATCAGCAAGGAACGTATAGTTAATTCATAGCCAAATAAAGCAGAATCTGAAACAGGTTCGGAAAGTTGTACGGTACATATTTATGATTTTGGCCGATCTAAATAAATATGAAACGAGCCCATTAATTGTACACACGCGTCTGTTTAGAGTACATAAGCAGGCTTCTTTAGAGTTCTCTGACTTCAAACTGGTCATTAAAAAGATTTCCAACGTGGAACGTTTCCATTGCGGCAAAGGCCTGTCCAAGGCCTGTTTTCAGAATCTGGAAGTTCCAGCCGAGCTGGAAAAGCTGACTTGTTTCTTCGTTCTGTCCTTTTAAAGGCTTCTGTCCCAGAGCTAACAGGCCTCCTTAGCAGTCTGTACATGAATCCCTATTGCACTTTGAGCCGTCGCAAATTAAGTACCGGGTAGTTTTATTGTGATTCGTTTAGTGATGGTTTACTGAAGTTTCTGTTATCGTTGTGTTTAGGTGAAATATTTTTCATTCAAATTCATTGTAAATAAGTGTACAAAGCGTGTACATCAAGTGTGTGAAAGAAGCTACATTTTCAGTGTTGTTTGTTTGTTTTCGAGTGATGCGAAAAGATCTACTAAAACACCACGAAATAAATTTGGCACGTATCCACAGCTGACATAGTTAAAACATACCACCATCCGATTTTTCGAGTTTGTCTTGGAAAGATGTCTTGGAATCGCTTTTGAAGGACAACCATTATTAAATAAATCTATATCTCTTAAATATAGTTATTAGTGTAAGCGAAACATAGTTACTTTCTGAGATTTTTTACATTAGTGTCACAGATGTACCCCTTCGTCGTCCGACATTGCCACTCCTGTGCTGTGAACCTTGTTATTGTGTGATCCCGAAAAGGCGCTGAGAATAGTTCCATCGTTTACATTAAGCGAAGACCTTCCAGCGTTATATAACAAAATGACCACTAGCAAAAGGAAGAATTCTTTAAATCTGCCATTACTTCCTTAATAACCTAATACTCCTATGCCAGCTCATGGCATATGTAAAACACGCTTGCGCCTATATTCGGAGCAGAAATCAACTAGCTCATTCTCAGTTGCTGCCGAAAATTTGCGTCAACTTCAGTACATCCAGCGAAAAAGCTACGGAGCTAGAAAAATCGCAGTGCAGACAATACGAAGCGAGTTATTTTATCTCCTCTACCATAACCTAGCGACTGGTTCAAAGCGAATTCCGCCTTGGAGACTTTCGTTAGAAGTAGAACTTGTCACAAGTTCCGAGATCGCCAGCCATTGCGTGAATCTACTGTGGGACGCTAGTGTTGAAGGGTCTCCTAGACTGGGTTAAACGGGGTGTACATTGCTCGACGTAGCCCTTGTCGCTTACAATTGTAACAACGGTATTCGTGGTTAGCTCATTTTTGCCGGCTGTTGTAGAAGTTTCCGTCCAGAGTAACGCCTAACGGCTTAGGTGCCGAAAGTAAAATACGAAAAAAACCGTTGTTGGGGCTCATCGTAGACAGCATATGCGCATGAATGCTGTTTGATCACAGGGATAGATGGTGATACGGAGAGTGAGACTGATGAAACGTCGATGAGTGAACCTAGTTTAAATGGCCACGAGGTTACTGCCAAACATAAACATGGTACGTGGTACACTTACGCAAGAAGATTCGTCCGCCTACATCACGAAACCTGCCTGGTGAACTTATGGAAGACACAGCGTTTTAGTTTAGTGTGATTCGATTTTCCCACTGCTTTGCTATACAACTATCGGCGTTAGGTAAACTCCGCACAAAATAAACCTATGTTGAAATCATTTGCATACATAACACTATTGGGTGCCTAGTTCTGTTTCGTTTACTGCCTATGTCTCTTAGGTATAACAAGTCATCTAGCAACCACAAGTCGTTCATCTATCGTATTAATCGTGTTGCTCACCCGTTCGGATCACATAGACGACCATGATTGTGATAAATAATAGAGAGATACAGCGTAAGAAAAAGACTGTAATAAGCATTGGTGCCAGTGCGACCGTACGGCAAACGACGTAATGGCTTCTACAAGTTACGGTTTCGTAGTCGAGGCCATAATTGGCTATCCGATTCGCAATGAAGTAAGCCCAGTTGATGACGAACCGAAGAAGTTTAGCTAGGATTAGGTTAATCTAATTAAATCTAGAGCGAACAGAATATTATCGCACCAGGACGAGGTCGAGAAAGAGACGGTAACAGATCGAACAAATAAAAAGAAGTCTTATCCTATTTATCTAAAGCGAACTTGATACATTACAGGCTGATCTGGCTGTCAATATAGGCCCGCAATTACGCACTGACTGCCACTGCTTCCGTACGATTATAACTGGACGAACGAACCACTAGACAGCGGAGCCATCGCAGCTAATTGTTATATAAAGCCTAGTTAGGTACTGTCAAATAGCTGGGCTACACAATCTGTACTGGTCCAGTGACGAGGCTTTTGCTACCACTAGGCACTTTTCTCCCATCTCTGATGATATCGACGAACGGTGAAACGCTCGGTGAATAGCTCATTGCAAATTTGCAAGGGTTGATGTGTTTAGTGACTTTATCATCTGTCATCTATATTATTGACATATGTCCAAATTGCAGAATAATAGGAAAACATCAAGCGAAGATCTACTGTTTAATTCTCTTAGAACTTTTTTTTTTTAATTTTATCAAATCTATATGAAGACAATAAAAAAAAAATGAACTTATAAACAAAATACCAAAAATAAATTTTATAAAGGTTAAGTCTCTATCCACTGGTTACTTTGGCTAAATAGGTAAAGGCCTTTATAGGCCACTGGACTATCATTTGAATTGCTTCGAATCATTGAAAGGGCTATCCATAGCAAAAGTTCTTCAGGCGATTGAATCTCGAAGTGGTTAATCTGTCAACTAATGAGCTAGATTTCGAAAAAGACCTCAAATCTAAAGATACGGTATAAGGTAATCGAGAAAATATGTCATGAGATAATAACGGCTAGCTGTTAATAGAGATTCATCGTAGTGAAACAAACTGTTTGTGCGCTAATTACTTGTGTTAATCTCAAATTAAGTGTGCGTTAATAACTTTTTGTTAGCATCTTATTGTAATTCTAAAAAAAAAAAGTTATATATAAGAAAAGTTAATATTATCGATTCACTATGATACGGCTTCAGAAAAAAAGTATTTGGTTGTGCAAAATTCAATGAACATTACAGCCCATTATGGGACCGTGCCTTTATATACGCTATAAAAAGTGGAAGGTTCTTGTGTGTGTCTGGGTATTTATTGCGAACAACGAGAGACCGCAGGCCCAGGTCTATCTGCTAGTACAGTCGACTAGGCCTGCGTCGTTTCTAATAATGTATGTTTAGTCAAGAGGATCGTACTATTAAAGCACAATTCGTTCTAAACTTAATATCCATCTCTTTCATCTGTTTGCCGCATCAGGACGTTCCATAGCTGCGCGATTTCTAATGAAAAATGAGTATCTGATTACGCAGACCCCCGTAAGTATTCGAGAAATTGGACCCGTAACAGTGCTTTAAAGGAGATCAGACAAGTCGTTCGACTCGCCGTTACTACCGACAATCCTTAATCATCTTGTACTGAGAGAAACCAAACGACGTTTTCAGAATCACATTATATATATATATATATATATATCATTGTTGCCAATGGCACAGTTGTAATAGTACAAGCTATCAGTTTACTGATTTTGACACGGAGTCATAAGTATCACACTTTATGCAAGGGCAGAGTTCATAGATTGACGCATCATTGTCTCCTTTAATTACAGGAAGGGACGACATTATTCAATGGCAAGAACTATACCTGTAGTAGATTCTTTGTGGCAGACTGCATAGGATCGTCAACCTTTCTGTTATATCGAACCCCTTGAGATGCAACAATATATAAATGTCAATTTTTAAATGTTTTAAAAATGGCCGAAATCCAATTCTAGAAATTGATGCTACTCATTACGTTCAGTTTTCCCTATATGAATATTGTCTCCTAAGCTTAAGGTAAAGATTAAGTACTCTGTAACAGGTTTCATCATCAAGAATTTTTTGTTCTAGAGTGGATACTTAATAAGTTATTAGTATTACGTCACTTCATCGGGCACCTATCCCCTTATTCTTACACAGTACCACACCGTAGTAACAATCTTCTATATAAGAGGTGAACGATCTCTTGATGTCAATAATTGTGTCACCGAATTGCTATTTACACAAAAGAATATGGCCGGTGAGCAAATATCGTAAGTTAAACGCTCAAATTAAGTTTCGTATAATTATTCGCTGCTTATTTACAGGAGAACCTATGGTACATTGAGGATAAACTCACTGATCGCGTTGCAAGTTATTGTTATGAACACATTGATCGGGTGGCGTTCCTTCCTTCATATTCCAGCAATATTATTGCCCTGCTAACTTAGTAGATAACGACTGTCGTGTACACCCTCCTTACGATTTCAATCCTGCATGTACGTAATGGGTTTATCGTATATATGCTTGCCCCCCAGTGCCAATTTCCAAACGGCCGGGTCTCATGATGCTATAGCAGTTCGTATAATCTGTTGTGTATTTAATTTATGCAAATGTGTATTGCTGAATAGGCACCATCAAATCTGAAGGGCGCTAATTGTAGCGATATATCGCCGCCGTTAGTTGTAGTTACGTTTAATCAACGATGATCAAAGGAATAACGTCGTCGGCCTAGTCATCTCTAGAGGACAGGTCTTCATCAAAAAAACGCATGAGTACCGATTGTACATCGCATCGTGGCCCGGAACAGGAGACTATTTTGGAATCGATGTGAGCACGCCTGCATTCATTAGTAGCCGTACTAGACCAGACGTTGGTTAAATGAAGTGAACAATGCTTTGTCAGAGTTCGCACAAATTTGGTCGGCTTGTTTCATATGGCGAACGTTCGGCAATCCGCTGCCCCTGGTACGAAAAAAAAATCTAGCCCCTCTTAGTGCAGGGCCGTAAATTCATTATGGCGGGGTTGGTCTTCCAAATATACGCGGAGATTAGCTATTGTCAAATGTATTTATACGGGCTGATACGCACTGAGATTATGGGCTGTCTTACTGTTTGCTGTTACCAATATCCATATGTCTTCTAAATAGTTCAAGGAAGACTTCCATGCGGCAAAGTATGGGATTCTGAATAGCGTTTTCATCAATCAAAGTCTCGCCATTTTCGGTTATCTTGAATTTTGGTACAGAAGTTAGCTGCTGTTTTCGACCTCAGCTAAGAGAAGTCTACCGCCAACGGGATCGTTTAGATGAGCTCGAACGGTTTACCGTTTTCAACGCTTGTGTTTCTAGCACCTTTAGCCTGCTGTCTGAATTCTACTATATTCTTTGTGTTTAACGAACCTAAATTTACCAGTCTCGCTTCACGTACCCAATTTATGAGTTGAAGGTTAGATTCGGAAAGGAAGCCATGATCGAGACAAGCGGAGGGTATTTCGAGTAAGTACGGTCGCCAGAACGGACACGTTCAGCGCGGATAGTGACAAGTCGTCGACTTATCTATTTTCCTTCGGCCGCAATCTTAGAAACAGATTACAGGGAAAGCTACAAAGTCGGATAGATCATTTTGTAAACTTGAGTTCTACTAGGAGAATGTTTCCAGTCGGGTATGTCTAAGTAGAGGGTCGTATTTATTTGTATATACCATATCATATTTATATAGGCACAGTTCGTGTAGACACTTGTTCATAAATCAGGTAGAGAGGGCACACACAACATTAAAATACTTTAAAACGATAAGATTTCCAGCCAGATGTAGTTGAAGGTAAGCAAGAACAGAGGCAACAATCACGGTGCTGTTACATGGCAGTTGGCTCTTCCATAGGTGACTAACCAAAATTTTAATAAAATAAATAAGTTCGTAAAAAAAATAAGATAATAACCTCGGGTAAATTAATAGCACACATGGACCTAATGGGTTATTTATTTATTTATTTATTTATTTATTACTCAATGAATATATCTGCCATAGCTCATGTACATGTCTGTTTGGTTTTCATTTCAGTCCGGAGCATCCAGCAAGCGAGAATCCGTCGTGTAGAAAAAAAGATCGATTACGTCCTGTTCAATTGAAGTAATCAGAATACGTTGGAATCGAACGAATATATCATTGAATGCTAGCCATATCACTATAATTAACGCGATAATTATTACCGGAATATTAGACAATAATATTTCTACGGTGCGTACGTAACATGTGTGTTTATTCGTTATGTATAGAATGCATAGACCTCTATTCTGATTCGAACTGTATTCCGAGATAGCTTGACGCAATCCGTTTAGCTCGCAGACCGAAAGATCATGAATCTGAGTAAGTTTCTGATCTCGTGATGTAGGACCCTTTACAAGTGATAGCAGTTCTAGCTTAATTTGGGTTGCGACATCCACAAATAAAAATTCTTTAAGCATTCCTTACACAACAAAGGTACGAGAACGCGGCTCCAATAATCGTAACGTATGGGCTAATATATATAGCTATGAAGATAGTATGTGGATGCCAATGGTCCGTGTAGGCATTTTTTTTTCAGTTCTAGTTATTTCGAAATTCATTCAATTAGATCATAGCATGGCAAAGAAATTAATTTCGAATAAATGCACAGTAACGGCACATTAGCATGATTTTATTTACATGAATTAAATATCTTTAATTAAAAATCATTCATGTTGCGCTGAAAAGCTGAGTCGGACGACAAGTTCATGTTGTCAAAGATGTTAGTAAAACATCTAGAGTTAGGCTATGCAAAGTACCAATGCTGCGCTGAAGAAGCCTCGTTTGTTTGACTTATCTTCCCAGCATACACACACATATATATAGCTGTATATATAGCTGTTCAGAATATGTGTACATGCATTCTAAATATGTGCACATCCACAGTCCATAATCTATGTGTACATAGATATATATCAAAGCTGCTATAGCGGTTATCTACAGCTGAAAGTATTAGGATGCTTCTGGACGTACAGGATGTGCAGAATTCTTCCATACACTATATGTAGTTGTATTGATATATTGTATTGAAATATTGACTGCGGAAAGCGTTTCAACAGATTGTACAAGCTCAGTCTGCAACCTACCGGTTACCATACCTAGAAAACAATACTACCCAATATCTAATATTCGTAAACTTAAATAAATTTGATATTTCATCTGTACACATTTTCCATGTAGAACATCCCCTATCTATGCCAAAGGTCGATCTACGCGTATCCTTCGCCTGTTGAAAATATTGTGCCGCGAATAAACAACCGTTTTAAATAGTCGATTTCCTGTCGTGTGTTCGAGGCTTTCCTGTATACATACAGATAGAGAAAATAATAGGTTCCACTTTATATGACATTATATAAACCCTGCTTATATGGCGTCAAGGTTGTATTTTTGCGAATAAGGACACACAGCAATTTTAGACGATAACAAAGGCGAAACTTTGTTGGCTCTACGGTGGCTACTACCTCTGCTGAGCTGCTAGCAGGTGAGATGTCGAAGAACCAATTTTAGATCGTCGCAGGATCTTCGAACGGACCGGACCGTTAGGTCAAAGAAATTCGTTCGTGTAACGTCCGTCCGATAGTAATCGTGCATCATGCAAGTCTCAAAAGGAGCTAGCCGCGTTGCTAATAACA